TCAAAGGGGCGAGGGTGAAACGGGTGGGGGGGGGGTGAAAGTGGCCAGGAACGATAATCGGGACTTTTACAGCCCGTCACGATTTAAACAGGCTTAATCATCCCCTTCTGGCTAACTCGTCCCTGGCCTTCCCACCCCTTCTTTTGCCCTCCCAACCCCCACGATCATCCCCAGCATGCGGGAAGGGGTGGTTGGCCGTGACTCTGAGAAGAGGGTATGACAAAAAGGATCATCACCCGGGTGAAATCGATGCGGTACTTGCATTTATCCACCCTCCGCTTCCAACCCTCTTCTTTAGTATATTTTCCTCCCCGGCATTGCCTCCACGCACCCTCACTGCCACACGTGACCTTACTCACCCCTTTTCATCCCTCCGGGGACTCGTGTCTTTTTTCAGGAGTGGAACGATTACAAGCTCAAGTGGAACCCGGACGACTACGGAGGGGTTGACACCCTTCATGTACCATCCGAACACATTTGGCTACCTGACATCGTTCTCTACAACAAGTGAGTCCATCTTTCATCCCTCTAACTGTATAACCTAACCTATAATAACGTAGCGTAAGCCAGCTCGTAGAACCAGCCTCCCTCTAAGAACTTTCACGCGGCGTCCTTGTCCACGTACTCAGTCGCCATGCCTGCTCACCGAACCAGGTACAAAAGCCTCGACCGCACCCTTCGACTACTTCAGAAACCTTAAATTAACGCCAAGTCACTCCCGAGGGGTACTGATTATGCTTACGGTCTCCGCTTTTCATCCCCTACATAGAAATAGCTTATTAGCAACGCGTGAAATCGAATGAGCCATGTACGAGGTCCATTTAATTTACCTCGTTCGCAATTCGCCCGTTCCCATTTTTCTCCGGCAGCCTTCATCCTGCAGCCAACACTTTGCAATCCGTCAAGTGTGTGTGCCGTTGCACCCCCGTGCAGTCGAGTCCGACCCCTCTCGCCCGTTGGGTGGCGGCAGGGTGACCTTCCCCCAAGGCGTTGGTGTTAGTAACAAGTAAACTAAACTTAACCTACTCTACTAAGCCCCACTCAGCCGTGGAACGTTCAATCCTCTATTCTGGTACCTATCAGCCAAGCGACCCCTGGCAGTAGCTACCTTCCTGTTCCTGCCTCCTCGGTATGTACTCTCGGTGACACCTTCAACCCTTATACCTCACCGCCATAGTTCAGAGACAGAGGGGTAAGGGAGACACGTACATTTGCATGTATTATGTAAAACGAGCCGATAAAGTCTTCCACTGAAATGATCCCATACCTACCGCCACAAAACATCTTTAAACATATTCTCGGGTACACCGGTAGCGCACTGACACCACTATGAAGTGTCGTTAATAACGCTTTTCAGAACTATAGACTTTTTGTACATTGTCCAGCCGTTTCGGAACGATTTAAAGAATACCTTAATTAGTTTAAAGACATGCGGATTAAATTTCTAAGAATTCAGTTGATTTTGACAGAGAAACTAGTGTTGCATAAGTTAGAACTTTTGGGAATAGATATGCAATGCGATACTTTATTTTCTCAGACGGCTGCTGTCTTTTGTCGCGTATCGGTCTTGTTATGTTTATTTTTCATGTGAAGAGTGGATTTCGCTCTTCGGTGACGTACGCAAAATCACTCCCTTACCGCTACACCAACACCTCGAGCTACTAACCCAAGGTTCAGACATATACCGTATCTCGTTGGTAAAATATTCCTGAAGCTCCCACTACAATAAGACTTTTCACTGAGAATTGGATGAAATTGGATAGCACCCCATTATATACAGCTAGGGTAGTTTCAACTACCCTATATGGTTACTCAGGACAATGTGTAGTGTTCCACACGTTATGAGAGGCTGTTATTATTAAAACAATACTTGCGGTTATAAGGGTGGATGAACGTGAGTTTCCTAGAGCCTTGCTGCACAGTGTCAAAATGCAGTGAGGACTCAGGGGGAGTAAAAGAAGAGAAAGATAGGGAATATTTAATGCAATTAGTGGTGCCGACTCATTTGGGGCTTAGTTACATGCCAGATGCAAAGTTTAAATATTCAGGGGTTACTCCGTGAATCTCGTTACTCCATTATCATCAGATTATTGCACCTGGAGCTACGGTAATCCATTGCAAGGAGCGTGCACGAGTACCATCGTTGGCGGCCGTTTCTCCATTCTCGAGCAATCCTTGTGTGGATAACCTTAGGGTAGGTTGATAACTAAGTAACCATGTTTAAAGTAGCCAGTTATCCGTTATGGTAATTTAACGCGATGGACAGGAGAGAGTCCATAACCTGACGTTACCTAACCTAGCCGAAGCATAGGCTAATGCAACATAACCTAGCAACACCTAACTAACGGCGCAAGCTTGTTATTGCTTGTTATATCCATTAACAAGGACGTCCACAGGGAAAACTTATCATCCTGGACACTAGTGTATCCCAAGTATTCCTGACAGGAGTCTCCCCACCAAGTGACATTAGATAATCCAAAATTTCTATTGATTGGTAGCAACTTTCAGTTGACATATTGGATCCTGTCCCTAGGGATTATTGATACCGTTGTACAGGGTATTGTATTGTCTGCTTTGAAACAAAGAAGAGGATTATTGTCACTGTAGTAATCCTAACCGCGAAAATCTATAATGTACATGTTAAAGCTTCGCTGTTGTTGGTACAGAATATGCACAGTATAAAATATCAAGTAAGACATGATAATGTTTACTAAGTGGTACATAACTAGAGCACTTTATTAGCATCACTATTCACATGTGTTCTCAGTGAAATTATATTGTTCTCGGTTAGGTAAGGATGTTGTACATCCTGGTTAAAGTTATGAGTTACAGGATGATGAGTCAGGTGAGAACCTTCTACGTAGCAGCATATATACTCCTACAGGTATATCATAAAAGCTGGGACACCGGTTATATTACTCTAGGTCATATACAGCAGTATGTCATATATTACAGAGTGGAAGTCTAACTTAAAATATGGACACCGTATGCAAAGTCCTAACTTTTATTATGTTTCTAGGTGTAGCTGTATATTTACCAACTGGTCATTACTCTCCAGTGCAAGAGTACCTCGAATGGGTCAGGTTAGAGATTGGTTAGCGTAGAAGAATAAGGATAGCTGACTGCTAGTCGACTGTTACTACTGCTACTTGAGTATTCAAGTAGTACTCTAAGACTAGAGGCCGAGTATGGCTATGCCTCTGGGTATTATAACGGTTGGCAAGGAGTCGTGTGACCTAAAATATTTTAAGTACATGCCACTGTTATATCCTGAGTACTCGCAGCACCCTATCTTATGTCTACATATACTTTTCTAGCATTTACTGAGTCTTGTGACTCTCATCCTCTTAGAGATTAGGTATAACTGTCTAATTTCCAATATTTTTCTATTTCTCTTCTTTTTATTTGATAGGTAGACATTGCATTTTTTTCTTCTGAGCTTTAAGAGTTGTTAATAAAAAGATAACCAAGGACTCATCACCAATCTGTCACACGTATCGACGAAATACGTGTTTTAATCAAGAGACGAATGGAGTCCTGTCCAGATAACTAGACAGAGAGATAGATGGATATATCTACCTACTATAGGTATATAGATAGCTAGATGTTTAGCTGGATGGAGAATTGGATAGATGGCTGGCTTGGTGGGGTTGGTCGTATTACTGTGTAATAAATGGCTGGCAGTACGTGTTAACGTGGTTGAAGGTATACCAGGGGTGGCTAAGGCCTGACACGCATCCACCCTTTTGAAGGTTATTGTGATTTACACATTCTTCGTACCAACGTCCATATCCACGCGAGAAAAATTCTTTCCTTATACGCGGTACGTGTGCCGAGAATCGAAAATCCAAGGGTTTCTAAGGGAGATTAAAGGTTTCCAAGGGAGGTAATTTTTTGAATAAGACAAAGAACCTACCCACACATTTCTTATAAGAAATAGCTTTCTGTCAACTGTATTTTTTCAAATTGTAATTTATATTACACTTATATTATTATAATTATATTGTCAAATCTTCAAAAAGTGAATGGTTCAGCCTACATAAAGTCTTGCAGGTATAGTTTGATTGGAGTTACTAATCTATAAACAGCATATACTTATTCATAAATATAAAAAAAAATAAGATTTTGGAGGACATTGGTTCTTCACGCGGTGTTAAGTGTAAACATAAATATCAAAGAGTTTTTGCTTTATAGAACAAAATCCCTAGTCGTCGGCAATTCTCATTAAGTTGGGATTTTCCCAGACGTTTTCCTTTCTCTTTTATTTCTTTGCCTCGCCCACCCCTAATTCACCCGTATACGTACGCCGACCTAGAACCAACCTATATTAAACTGAACCGTACCCGAAAGGGTGGTACGAGAGGGGTTAATACTCGTGGGAATTTTCACGGCGGCATGGCCGACAACTTTAAAGGCGTTTCGCATAAATGCTAACCAACCAGCTTGTGCACTCTTGCCAACATCTTTCGCGAGACTTTTGCCAGGGGATTATACACAGGGTGCCATTTAGGGTGTGTACTACTATCAACCCTTGATTTAGGATTTCTTTATATCTTCATCTTAATTCCCTGAAATCGGTATTCCACAGGCTCGTCCAGAGTGCAGCAAGCGAATCCGCCAGATGAAAGTGACAGTAGCTTTCGGTATACTTAAATCTGTTATCTAGCAGGGATTACCAAAAGAAAATATAAGGTCAAAGAAAAATCCGAATGGGCTAGGAAACTCCAAAGACATAGTAGTGACCTAGAGCGCGCACCTTCATATCGATCGACCCCAACCCCGGGACCATCCTCTGGAGTCACACCGAGCTAGACTAAATCTAAAAGCTTAAGGGGACACGAACTACCAAACCTCCTGGTGCCAGCCTCATCCCCTACCTGAAATCTAGTACCTATACTATACATATAGCAACTAGCAACCCCCCTCATTCCGAAGACTGCTTCTATACCGATGCTAAATTGCCCGACTTTGGATACCTTTTTTACCTCTGACTTCTTTCTACTTACTCCTCCCTCGTTCTGAACTCTCTTGGCTCGTCTCGCGGCGCAAGAGAGAAAAAAAAAGAAAGGCATGAAAAAAGTTGCCAAAGGCACCGCCAATGAAAAGAAAAATCTGGCGTTCAAATAAATTGTCGAATCCAGCTATTTCTAGCTATCGCTAGACATCGCCAGCCTGGCTTCCAAGGGTTGTAAATAAGGGATGATATTCGATGGCGGCTACGTTCCCTCCGAAAATACTTGGACAATTTATTCCAACTATTTTATCGGTCACGTCTGGCCATTCTTATTCGGTTCTCAGATCAATTGCTACTTCATTCTCATACGTTCCAATCAGACAGCATCGTCCGTGATCCAGTGTCTCCTTCACATTCTTGCTGATCGGAAATCGATGATACAGGATACGAGTGGTTTTCCCGAGACATCCTGGGCTTACCCAGGAATTGGTTAACTCTCGGGTTCCCGGTCTAAGGTAAGATCGGGGACGGGAATGAATGAGTAATTCCTGATTTGCCGTGCTGGCGTCGTACAAGCCAAGAGACTAATGTAAGATGAGTATTCGGGGATGTCGGAGTTGGCTCTGGTACTCCTACCGAACCTGGAGGTAGATTGGGATGTAGATGGAGTTGGGTTAGTTTGGAAGGCTTGAGAACATTGCGGAGGACATAAATTTCCAACCTCCCTTCCAGTTCCTTCTGGTAGGACATGCATTTTTAAGCACGCGACGTATAGATGATTGGCTAGATAGGAAGACCCAAGATACCTGGTACCACTTTTGCTATTGCTGTTCCTACTGTCTGTACAAAAGGTGGTGTTTAGTACAAAAAATCCTTATTTCTGGAGATCATCCGGCAAGTGGATGGGATCCATAGAATCCAGTGATCTAGGTATAAATAATGATCATTGCTAATGTTTCTCAGTATTGTTTCTTTTCTTTCTCTTCTGTAACTTTTCACATTGTACCTAAGGATCAAACTTTCTTGTTGCAGTGCTGATGGTAACTACGAGGTGACCATCATGACCAAGGCGATCCTCCATCACAATGGGAAGGTCGTCTGGAAGCCACCGGCCATTTATAAATCATTTTGTGAAATTGACGTCGAGTACTTTCCCTTCGACGAGCAGACCTGCTTCATGAAGTTTGGCTCCTGGACGTACGACGGTTATACGGTAGATATCACTGGGAGACATCCCGATAGTATAGAGTACTTGAAGAAGATGAATTACAGCGTTAGAAGGGCACGGGTCTGTATCTGATAAATGATTTGATCCTTAGGTGGATCTACGTCATCTGGCGCAAACGGAAGATTCAAATGAGATCGACGTGGGTATCGACCTGACCGATTACTACATTTCCGTAGAATGGGATATAATAAAGGTGCCTGCTGTTCGTAACGAGAAGTTCTACATCTGCTGCGAGGAGCCCTACCCGGACATCATCTTCTACATAACCCTAAGGCGCAAGACACTCTTCTACACGGTGAACCTGATAATACCGTGCGTGGGTATATCGTTCCTCTCAGTGCTGGTGTTTTATCTGCCAAGTGACAGCGGTGAGAAGGTGTCATTGTCAATCTCAATTCTCCTGTCGCTCACGGTGTTTTTCCTACTCCTCGCCGAGATCATACCGCCGACCTCACTGACGGTACCGCTCCTGGGGAAGTACCTGCTCTTCACGATGGTGCTGGTGACTTTGTCGGTGGTCGTTACGATAGCCGTGCTTAATGTTAACTTTCGTTCGCCGGTTACCCACCGGATGGCGAATTGGGTGCGGGTCGTATTCATTCAGGTGCTGCCGCGCTTCCTCCTGATAGAGAGGCCAAAAAAGGATGATAACGGTAGTGGTGCTAGTAGTACTGATCCGAGTGATAACGGTGATAACGTTGATGGGGATGATTTGGATGCCGATGGGAAGCCCCCAGAGGGCATCCTTACCGATGTGTTCCATGTACAAGAGACTGATAAGTATGATCCTTATTGTGGCAAAAGGTTCAGCGTTGAGTACGACGTACCTGCTCTGCCGGTACCAGGATCAAGGTACGAGCATGGCGCGGTCGGTAACGTCGCGCCTCGCTTTGACGAACCACTACCCTCGCTACCGCTCCCGGCCGCCGACGATGATCTCTTCGGTCCCTCCAGCCCGGGTTACGTTCACGAGGACGTCAGTCCCACCTTCGAGAAGCCCATGCTGCGCGAGATCGAGAAAACGGTCGACGACGCACGGTTCATTGCTCAACACGCCAAGAATAAGGACAAGTTCGAAAGCGTGAGTTTTATCGTTACACGAGTAGCACGGTATGATATTTATTTCCTTCTGAGATAAGAACTTTCTTGATACTTGCTTCTTTTCTTTCGTTTTAGCTCTCCTTTATATCTTTCATCTTTATCTGTCCTGCACGTCGGACTTTTTGTTGGCATTCTCCAGCACTCCTCATCCCTGTCTGTCCACTGACTTTTCTTTCACTGCGCGTGCCTGTCTATGTCTTCAGTGTTCGTGGTAGGCATTCTGTACAGCGTAGTCTACATCTAGGATGTTGCAATACGTACACGTTGACGGGTAGATGCCGAGGGTGGTTTTTCCCCTTCGTCGAAAAGCGTCACCCTTGCGTTTCTACTAATACTTACGGCCAGACTTGCCTCGACGAATGTGCAAGGCGAAAAAAGCCTTTTCGCTTTGATCCGCGTGCCGGGCTCCTTTAGCTTTTGATACGGCGACCACGTAGTCCAGGTGGTAGAATAGTTTTACTATACGTTTGAAGGAAGGATTTAATGTATCCCTATCAATTCTATAGAGTCTTTTCATTGGAGATTTCGAGCAGGAAGTTCGGCAGGAGTTTTACACCATTCGAAATTCCCGCCAGAGTAGTCACGTGGTGTATCGCTATTCCATTGGAGCCCGTGCGCTGATATTACGGTTGCCCGCTGCGTAACCGAGCCACGAGATGGTGCTGGAGCAAGCTTTGTGTTCACAGGTCGAGGAAGACTGGAAGTACGTGGCGATGGTACTCGATAGGATCTTCCTCTGGATCTTCACTCTGGCCTGCGTCTTTGGTACGGCCCTGATCATACTCCAGGCACCGAGTCTTTACGACACGACGAAGCCGATCGACATTAAGTATAGCAAAATCGCCAAGAAGAAGATGATGCTGATGAATATGGGCCCGGAGGAGGACTAGTCGATGACGCCGCGCGGCTCAGCTCGCCGCCATCGTTTTCGCACCGGTTCGCATAGTTCACGCCGTCTATCCAGGTGGCGCGACGTACGACGACGTAGACGTCGTTCCAGCGCGGCGAATTCAATCGCTCGCTGGTTATCGTCGCGTCGATTTATAACCACTAAGAAAAATCTCTCGTCCTGCCATTATGAAGTTGCGAATGGCGCTTTGAGGAGTCGGATGATCGGATGAGGATTTATGTGTCTGGACGATGAGAAAAAGTACGCGTGGTGAACGGGAAACGGAGAGAGAGAGAGAGAGAGAGAGAGAGAGAGAGAGAGGAGTGAGAGGGGTAAAAGTGGAAAAGAATTGAATCGAGAGGGAGGAAGTAGAAATGCAAAAGTGCCAAATACCCAAAAAGCGAACCGTATTTTTGTAAATCTGGTTTCATACGTAAGGCTAATAGTCGTGCGGCGAATCGTCTAAAGAGAACCTGAACTGCCGATTTTATATAAGAAGACGTTTAAGCAAAAGAAAAAAATAATATATAATAAAATAATTAACGGAACGGCGGAGAGCGCGATGGCGTTATTGGGTAACGACGAGGGGTGGTACTAGGGAGGAGGCGAATAATAATAAAATAAATAAATAAATAAAGCGCGAGGAAAAGGAGCTATAAGAAACAAAGAAACAAACAGAAAAACATAAATCGCTTGTAAACAACTGCCAATTTCAGAAGCGGCCTCTATCTAACTAGCCGGGGGAGGATGAGGGTTGAGGCATCTAGAAGAAAGGAATCAAGAGCAAGAAGAGAAGGTGAAAGAGAAAGAGAGAAAGAGAGAGAGAATGAAAAACAGACATAAGGAGAGACAAGTTCATCAGTATCTCCGGATGAATTGAATAAATTTGTATAATAGCCGTCTTACCAATAATCAATTAACGAGGAAGACAACAACAACAAAAATGGCTGAATGAACGCAGTGGATAAGACTTGTGCCAAAAATTTCCTATGAAGTCGCGCGCCCGTCTGGTTACCAAAAAATACTGATTTTTTGGCATTTTCGAAAATTCTTATTATACCGTAAAGACCTACCTTCGGATTTGAGATTCCCGTATCACTCCTTCCTCAAGATATCAAAGTGGGCCAAAATCAATCCAGTCTGGCTCCGATTGAAATTTTGAAAATTTTCTACCAGGGAATTGTGCCATAACATAATTACATAATTACATAAATACGTGCCAAAATCGTCTGACACGCGCATCTCATTCCTGTCGGATTATGACGAATTTATAATTTTTTTTTTCTAATATGCAAAATTCTCAAATATCCAAAATCGGGGATGAGTTATTCGAGATATTCGATATTATTATAAGAAATAATTAATACAACGTATCCGTATGAGTGAATGATAAAGGGGTCTAACGATAAGACGTTCGCGCGATGTACTCGGCCGAATATGTGAATATCAAAATGGCAATCGCAAGTTGACGAGAGGAAAAGTAAAAAGAATAGCTGACGTTTAACGTGCACGTACACAGGAATGTTGATGAGGACGAAGACGAAGAATCTGAGGAATAAAAAAAAAATGAAACACACAAGTTATACCGAAGAGGTTGAAAAATGGGCGCAGAAAAAAAATATGGCGCCTCCACCCCCCCACCGCGGTATAATAATCAATTTATTTGCTCATATAAAAATAATGAATAATGTTAATGTGCATAGCTATATATATATAAATACATATAAATATAATTGATTAAGGGGAAGTATAACGGTTACTCAACCAGAGGGACAGAATTACGTATTACGAAAGGGACAGAAGAATGTTTTGTTCGGTGTATGAGAAAAACAAAATATCCATGAATGAACAGCGAGTATGTGATGCGTGCGACGGAACAATGAAAGAGTCCAGTGTGTGTGTATGCGTTGAAAAAAAAAATGTATGAAAGTCGAAGAGGAATTTGATCGTAACGAGCGAGATTATTAATCGATTCGAAAAGAAGTTTGCTCACAAATTGTAGAAGAAAAAAATTTTCTTTTTGTTTGGGGGAAAAATCAGCTAACTAGAGGGGCGTTTAGCGAAAGGGAGATATTGAGGGACGAATCGAGACGATGAATTACAAACGAACAAAATACACGAACAAAATGTCAAACTCACTGTACTAGACTCACCTGTACAGCTTCCGAGAGTGTTTTGTTATTTTATTTAATTTTTAATTTTGCAAACCATTCGGGAAAATAATTCGCATGTGTATTTATATTACCGTATATGCATGTGTTTATTCACTGTATCATGGATGCGAAATTGATAGGCTGTCGGGCCACTACGTACATTGGTCTACCATTTAATTAGTATATTTCGCGTTAACTTTTATATATTTGCGAGCGACGCTGAGTCGATTCGAATATCGGACGAATTTGTATGAAATATATACGTATATACAGTAGCGTCAAGAGAAAAATGAAAAAAAAAATTCGATATTAGATACTGGACAATTTTTTCAAATCAGACTCGTGCGCAAACAATCATTCTCACGCATGCGCCCAAGGATAGAATGGCTCGGGGATAGGATGACTCGGGAAATGAAATAAAAAATTTGAATTATAGAGAACGAAGACATTTGAAATTTTTATTATTATTATATGTTTTTCTTTTAAGATTGTAAAATCATTGTCGGATGTGTTTTTGATATAGTTCCACATAAACACGCACACGTTGTTAACAAGACACTCGGCGGTGGCGCCATCTGTTCTCGAATGATCGATTTTCTCACTTATTAATCATTATTGTGATCGCTATGTTGGGTTTCCGGTCTAATAAGAACGATTTCCGGGTGACGTTTGTATAAATACTGTCGATCAATTTCGCCTGGGTTAACGGAACGTCAATGCCGCGTAACAAAATAGAGATAAGGATTAAGATGACAGAAAAAAATGTGTTTGTTGTGTGGTGATGCGCAAGCGGTTAATTTTTTACTTTTTTACTTCTTTTTTTTTTTTTATTTGGATAATACAAATTTTGAATATGGGGAGAGACACGATTTATCATGTGTAAACGCTAACACTTAATACGCTAAATATGAATAAATAATAACGAGAGGAGAGAAGGAAAAAAAATATACTATTTAATAACGATGCTAAATAATGATAAAAATGAAAAACGATAACAATAATGGTTACGCTAACGATTATTATTGTAATAACGATTAATACTTAATAACGATTAATACTTGTAACGATAAATGTATCAAGAATAATAATACTAATAATAATAATGAATAATAATAATAACGATACAACAATAACGATAATATGGATAACCATTGAGAAGTTCGTCAGGCCCCGATCGTCGCCGAAATCAAAATTCGTGGCGTTTTTTTATTTATTTTAACTTTTAATTTTTTTCTTTTTGCGATAATCGTGTTGGAATTTTTTAGATTTTTTTTAGTCACACACATAACACAAAACGATACGGACATATGACGTCACGCTTACCATGCACGTTCAAAAAACACAAAATGATATACGTACGATAGGTATAGTTTCGCTGAGCGTGAGAATTATGGATGAAAGTTTTTTGGGGATTTTTATTTTGAAATTTTCTTTCACTTCGTTCTCCCTTACAAGGAATATCTCGGGCGTGTTCGTGAAACTTTTTAGAAACCGAAACGATCTAGGGATCGATCGATCGCGCGAGACAATCGTGTGCCGCGGGGAATGATTTTGGATTTCCAAAAAAAAGACAAGTGAAAAACGGGAAAAAAAATGGAAAACAAAAAGAATGCGCGTTTTTTTTTCCCAATATCTCATCAGTGCGCGCCTGCCTTCCTCGTCGTCACAATTTTTGTTTATCTTCCACGAATCGTCGCGATATTTTCTCGGTGCGTAAAATCGGCCAATTTGAAAAAAAAAGGTTGAGAACGCGGCGCAAATCGTCTTCCCGCAATTTCGATTTCGAATTGTCGCCGAAGAAGGGTGTGCCACCCCTCCCCTCCGCTCATCTCTTCGACTCTACCCAGGTATTTTGGGAAAAGTTGATTTTGACGCTTTGCTGAATTTTAATGACGGTTTTTTGAATTTGATGATTTTTTTTTCTTTTTTTCAAGATTGATGACAGCCGGAGGTGGGCACACCTCTCGCACTAATCGTTAACTCTTTAGGACGTAGCGCGTTATATTAATTAAGGGAGCCGGTGGTGGCGGATACAGAGCGGCCGAAGTCCGCGACGACTTCTTTCTCGAGGATTGCTCGCTTGGGCCGCTCCTACTGCCGCTTACTTTTTGACTCATTAAACGTGCAACTAATTAGGTAAGTAATTAAAGTAACTCTAGATAGGTTTTTCGCCGATTGCGATACCCTCCCCGAGGCCGGGACTAGACTTTTTTTAATGGACGTACTCCAATTTCACTTTTTTTCCCAAAAATTGCCACCGTCAAGAATTTCGCTGAACTTTTTCAAAAATAATTCATCGAGGCGTTCCAATATATTTTTTTAAACCGTAAATCTGCTGGGGGCGGTTTCGCAATTGTAAATTCGCTCAATCGTCAGAAGGCTCAAAGGGATGACGGAACAGTGAAAGGGGTAAAATTTTCGAATAGTTAAAAATCGACGGTATCGTTTCTTGCCGATAGAACTGAATTGATTTTTCATTGTCACCGGTGGGACTCACGCCCTTTTCGGATGCGGGACCGTCCATATAAGAGAAGAGCACCCGGTACGGTATCTCAAAAAAACATTCGAAATTGTATAAATTATATTTTTTTGAATTTTTTATTCCACCATTACCGCCATTTTTTCCTTTTTTTTACTGTCATTAATTTTTCCAGCTAATTTCCTTAATCCAAAATATACATTTTTTAACTGCGCTCCCGCCGGCACACAACAATACCATACCACACGATACACACTCAACAAAAAACTTTCAACTTTCAACGAGAGAAAATTTGCTGAAGTACTTAAATACTCCAAATTTTTTTTTAAATCGCACCAGATAGACTCGTCATCGGATTGTCTTTTATGTTATTAATCGGAGTGCGAGTGTGCGTGATATGCGTGGAAAGATAAGAGGGATTTAGCGTACAGGAAAAATAAAATTTGAAGATGCGACCGTCGGGACAGAAATGAAGAATAAAAGAATATTCTTCATCTTTGATAGCAGTAATTAGCTAATAAAAGCATTTTAAATTACGTATGTTGGATTACGTAACATGTTATATATATATATATTGAGTACATACACGCACTTTACTCGTACGAATAGGATTAATAATAACAAGCGCCATTGTTTAAATTATTCTCTCAAAACCTAGACATTAATAAAGCCGCGCGATTTGCCAAAAAAAATGGATGGACGAGAGCGTAAAAAAATTTTTTTGGGAAAATGAAAGAAACACGAAAAAGCGATAAGTTAGGTGCGATTTGAGTTCTATCACGATTTACGAGTTCCGTGTATTTAGGCGATTTTAGAAAAGACAAAAATAAGCACGCGACATTTTTTGGACTATCCTTGGTGAAATAATCAATGAGAGAGAGAGAGAGAGAGAGAGAATGTGTATTAATTAGATAACTATCGTATGTCTTCCTTGGAGTACACCCGAACGCGGGATCCTCGTTCGCACTCGATTGGCAGCCATTTTTATTTTTCTTTTCCAAAAATTCTCCTTCAATTACGTCAATTCCCTGAAGCGTGTACATAGACATTTTTACGAATAAATTTAACGTAGTAAGAAATTTAATAAAACGAAAACTGATTTAATTTTGAAAATTTTTTTACGTATCCTCAATGGTATTTCATGCTTTCACCAGCAGCCAACCGAGCGCCAAGTAGCTTGAACGACGATGGCGGCGTTCGAAATGAGTTAACCTAAAAAATAAAAAAATAAAAAATAAAACAGCTTACCTATTAAATAATGAAATAAAAGACGTGTATAAAGGAGAGGAGTGAGAGAGAGAGAGAGAGAGAGAGAGAGAGAGAGAGAGAGAGAGAGAGAGAGAGAAAGGATGTGTGAGTCTATATACGTGAGCGACGTATTACGAAGGAACGAGAGAGAGAGAGAGAGAGAAAGATGATAAGTGGCCGTATCACACGATGAACCTTTTGAAAATAACTCCGATGCCAGTTAGTTCCAGTCGTTCATCTTTTTCTCTTTGGATAAATTCCACGTTTTCCCTCAGAATCCATCCCCCTGTCCTTTCCAACCCTTCTTGTCAAGGACAATACTAGAAAAAAGAAGAGCAAAGAAATCCCAAGGAATTCGCCCTTCCAGAACCTCCAAGGAAAGATAAAGCAATGAGATATAGATAAAGCCACAGAAATGACTACCTTTTTACAAGAAAACGTTTCGCCCTTAAGATACCAATTTTTTTTTTTCCCCCATATACCAAATGCCTGGAATTGAGATTTTTCCACTGCGGGAGAATCTTCCTCCTGTACCCTCTCCCACCCCCACTTTCTTCAACTCGAACTCCTCTCACATTTTTTTTTCTCGTTCCCCTCGTGTTTACCTCCTTCGCACATTTTTTTTACTACCCTCCGTCTTCGCCATTCAATCGCCCCCCGCCCCCTCTCAACCTCCGCGCGTCAACGAAGAAACGGAATTTTTTTGTCCTTTTATTTTATTTTGATTTTTTTTTTATTCGTTCAACCAAACGATACGCAAGAGCGCATGAATAAGATGCATAAGACATGAAGCATCCTCCGACGAAGCACTAATTTTAATTAGAACTGATTACTGCTAAATTGCACGGTAATGCTCTAACGGGGCACCAAGCGGAGAATTATGGAGCTAAAGCGCGAGAGAGAGAGAGAGAGAGAGAGAGAGAGAGAGGGATAGAATTTCTAGCAACGATGGCAAAGCGTGAAAAATTTTAGTCGAGTATGACTTAAAGAGAAAAAAGAATGTATGATGTGAATCTCGTGAAAGAATTTCGAAAATGTTAATAGGGGTGTGGAGTGGGGATGGGGGGAAGGAAAAAAAAGTAAAAAATTTTTTTTCGTAACATGTATCCAAATGACAATGACCGTATCGACGTTAATCAAGCTGATAAATGATTATTTGAAAAACTGATAGTATTGTTAAGACAATCAGACTTAATATTACTCCGGCCATCTCACGATAAGGCGCCAGGGACACCACTTCGCGCGAGTATGACGAAGAAAGGGATATATAAAAAATAACTCACGGTCCATTCCCTCGTAGCGATACGTCGTTAACTACCCTCGCGGTGGGGGTGGTTGAAGGGCCGTAATTCTGACTTCGGCTGAAATTACGTAATTTACACACACTTAGGACACGTACCGCGTATAAAAATATAAATACGTACTGCTGGTACTTAGGGGGGATATGTGGGTCACAGGTGGGGGTAGGGTGGGATTGGAGGGGGATAGTGCAATTTGAGAATGCAATGATGGATAAAGACATCCATTAAAGAGAGGACGATAACGATTACGTATTAATTCTAATCGAGGCCGTGAGATGGCGCTGCGAGTACCGGTGAATATTTTCCTGGGATAATAGTGGTGAGAAAAAAAATTTACAAGTAGGGAAAAAGAATTAAAATTTACCAACGAACGCCTCTCCCGTCGTACCCTTGGATGCGGTGAGGGAAATTTTTTTTGAAAAAAAAAAATTCGTTTTCAAGGTACTCGTGCCAAAGGCCATTCGTCGTTTAGAGTGGCGGAGGGTACGGAGATGAAATTAAGGGTTGATTATTATAATTTTTTTTGTTTTTTTGAAAATCTCACGGACGCTCCCGGTTGACTAGTGGGTGGTGGGTTATATACACTAAAGGCTAATACCAATATTACCTAATGCTAATCGTAGATTTTTGAAATTTAATAATATACGATAATATTAATAAAAAGTGTTAATGCAAAGTACTCGGTACCACTGAGCGGAAGAATTGTGCCCGGGCGTCGGGACGCTTTTTTGTAACGCCTCATTTTCTACGATCGGCTGGCGCCGCGGCGCCAATCGAAACAAACAGAGACAGTTGTTAAGGGTGAGAAATAAAAGAGACAGAGAAGAAACTCCTCGCGCAGTAATTACAGTGAATAATGAATAACGTGAAAATGGAACGGCGATAAAAAATTTTGAAAAAAAAAGTAAATCGTCAAAAAAATGGCGTTAAGAGTGAAATTCGATGACGTATGTTTGACGTTTACCGATGCACCTTTCTGACACTGGATATACATACGTGACACATACGCCACACACATGCGGGTTTGGGAGTGCAGTTTTGGATTTTTGTTTGTTTTTTTTTTTTGACACTTTTATTTGCTCACCTATTGGTCACCGAAATTGCTGTGTAATAGGCTGTGGTAATATTACCTCTTTATAAGAAATTCTATCTTAGCTCTACTAACCACATACACATCCTTCCCCTTTGTTCAACCATTGGTGGTATTATTTTGAATTTTTTTGGTTACTCCCAATCGACAGAAACGAAAAACAATTTTTTTTCATCGTCACGTTGGCAATGCCGCTCGACGAGGGATTTTTCTGTTTTGACTTCTATTTTTAAAAAATTGGACTCGCGACGTTTGAAAATCGGGACGATGTTTTGACGCTGGTGGCGTTTGCGTATTATGTATACATTGTATTGAAAAAAAAAGAAGACGATGAAAAATGAAACAGAAAGAGAGATAAGTAAGCAGAATCGGGAGAACGAGTTAACGGTGTAAGGTATCGAATCTACATAGTTACAATTGTTACGATAAAATTACGGGTAATTATTAAGAAGAATTCTAGACTTTTTCTAACTAATCGAATCGTAACGGCGGACTCGTGCCAATCCTCTAGATTTTACGACCTACAACGCAAGGATTTACGTGAGTGCCCAAATGTATCTGTATGTTATCCAAGTATGCAAGAGCGATTCATCTGCATGAATATGAGTTACGAATGCATGTGAGAGAGAGAGAGAGAGAGAGAGAGAGAGAGAGAGAGAGAGAGAGTTCAAGAGAAATGAAAGAAACGCTGTTATCCTACTAAGTCGGCTATGATATAGTACATTTGATTATTCGTCGTTTAACGAGAGCGGGCAGTAAGAATGACAAAGAGAAAATGCGAACGAATGGATGAAACATACAGAGAGAAAGAGAGAAAGGCAATATGAAATTTTGAATACCCGAAACAAAAAAAAATTAAAATATTCAGAAACGAATGGCCAGGAAAAAATTATAAAACATTTTGCCGGACATTAAACTTTGTTATCTTTGATTACCTTATCGTTTCATTATATCACTCGAGATAGAACTCCATGGTATACGTTGTCTATGGTAGAGACCACGTCGCGACGCTACGCGTCGGACACTCGCTACGCTCTAAGTGTGAGAAATCGAAGACGTAAGAAAGAGAGAGAAAGAAAATAATAATAACATTTATCCTTGTTAATTCGCCTAAATCATTAAATATTGTATCAAATATTATTATTATTGTACAAGTTATTTATCTTTAATAATACATAATAATTCATTTTTATCCCAGCTATTGTTCTCTAATTATATATTGTAAATAGGAAATATGAGGGGAGACATGGTTATACTTATCGCAATCGATATATCCGAATGGCGATTGCGTAAGAACGAAGAATAGAGATTAGTGGGAGGAAGGAAATAAAAGAAAAGAAAAAGAAAACAAAATTTTAAGAAAAAAAAAAGTCGTATCATTGGTCGATTATCGTTATTGTTATTTTATTTCTATTATTTTTTCTGAATATTATTATTGTTGTTGTTGTTGTTATTATTATCGTCACTGTTGCTATCACTTTCATTGTCTGGCACAACACGTGGAAAATTGTCTCTGTGCGGGAATTCGTATATGTCATACGAAAATTAAAGATAAAGAAAGGGTGAGTGTTGTACGTATGCTTGAGTGAGTGTTAAGTCATAAGAAAGCGAAAGATACGATTTGACGAGAAATTTGTTTTCAATAAAGGAAAGAAAGAATCTGAAAAAAAAAACATTTGGGGAGAATGGAAGGAAAATCGTGTTTAGGATGGGCGGAATCAAAAGAAGCCAAAAAAGGAAAAAAAAATATTAAAGAACAACGAATCTAAAACGGATACCATTAAAAGGGTATCCCTGCGTATCTGTGTCCTTCTGTCCGTCTATTTGTGCGTAAGTGCGTTGTCACACGTTTCCCATACGCCTTCCGTGTGTGGGATCGTGAAAAAAGAAAAAGAAAAAAGAGAGTCGACACGTAATTTTGCGTCGTCGACCTTACTCGCCCGCTCTTGATTGGCTGCTCGAATTTATTATTTCTTTTCTTTAACGAGCATTCCTTCGGTCTTGTTCAATTCTCTTTTCTTCTTTCTTTATCTTTACTCGAGATCCACTGGATGCGCGCGAGTCCTCGCACGCAATTATATTACACACGTCTATATATATATATATATTCATACGGTTACGTGCACGTGTATATCTATATATACGTATACGTAACCATCAAGTTCTCGCAGAAGAAAGAAAGAAAGAAAAAAAAAGTGGCTCGTTTTCTTTTTCTTTTCTCTTGTCCGATCGCCACCTCGATTTGAACCCTTTGTTCGTACGATCCTGCGATTCTTCACCTTTGACCCCGTTAAAAGCTCCGGAGCAACGGAGAGGAGATATGGAAAAAATAGATAAAGACAAAGATACGAGCAGTCTCTTGCCAAGGTATAAGTGACTGTGCATTGGGAGGGGGACGAGGACAGAAATAATATATACCGAATGTACATGACTGAGAAAGAATATAATAAACCGTGCCAGACGAGCATATAGAGAAGAAGAAAAAGAATCACGAAAAAGATAAACAAAGGGCTAAGTCGAGCCTTGGGCATTCGGTGGGACTTTAATCCGTAATTATATTTCGCTCAGAACAGTGAAAAGGAAGAGGAAGAAGAAGAAGATGACGGGGGATGTTGATCTTGACTGTAAGGGATGGCCATTGCTATTATTATTATTACTATTACTACTACCAGTACTATTGCTGATATTATGATTATGATAATATTGTTGTTATTCGACGGTGACGATAACGACTAAGAGAAAGAAGGAAAAAGATATAGGAAAAGGATTTACCTGCTGCCGACTGATCAGTGAGAAAGAAAAAATTTCGAGTAATTGTGTGTTAAGAGCGTGACTGAGATGATAGTAGTCACGCAATGTGTATATGTGAGGGATGCGTGAATGAATATGTGAGATCGTTGATGACGATCATGATTATGATGATGATGATGATGAAAACGTGATGAATGACAAGTGAGACGAAACGTTTATGTATAAAGTATTAATTACCTTATTAAAAGCCATTACTCTAAAACATTATGTATGGATAAACTAAACTAACCCTATTTATTAAGGATAACGTCTACACTCTACGTACACGCAGGATATACAGTCTATCCACGATATGTAAAACGATTAAATAAATCGAGCGGTTAAAAATATTGTTTAAAAAATAATAAACGTATTTGACGAAAATATTACTGGAAGATGGTCTGCTGATAGGTTGGACAAGGGCGGGAGAGAACGATTGACGAGTTGTTGTGAATGAGAGAGAGAGAGAGAGAGAAAGAGAGAGTGGATGATCTTTTGAGCGAACGGACGAAATAGAAAGAATCTGTGAGACGTAAAAAGAGTGGAGAAAATGTAAGACTGAAAGAAATACGATTCGCAGCTTACGTGTCGCTTATTTCATTTGAAAACTACGTGACAGCTGATCGCCGCCATTTGTCAGACGGAATTAGCCGATCGTTCCCGAAGTCGAGCCGAACGCATTCGGCTGTACTTCGTAGCACTTCGGGAGGAAAACAACATGGCGTGCCCACGTTGGAGCGACGGACAAAGATAAAGGAAAGTTGTATACAGATCATAGCGTACGGTAAGTACACACAGGTAATACGAGTAGATTGTACAAAAAGACGGATAAAACGGGATGATATTTCACCATTATGGCTGTTTATTTATTCAAGAGAGTTACATATTTGTACACATAACCTCTTGTGTGAGGGCATCTTAAATGCGAAATACGATACGCGATACACGATAGCATCATAAAATTATGTTAGCGTTTTCAACGAGCGGCAAGACATAAGCTACTCGTGTTTGGCCGCATTTTAAAAGTGTCCTTAGTCATACGCTATCGTGTTATATGTATACTACATATGACTGCCGTTTCATATGTATCCCTACTGGTATGTAATCATATATGCCTTTAACGTACTCCCCCCGTTATGCGGTATTATACAGCGATGTAAAAACATACTTAAGGCCTTGTATATAATATATACAATATATATTTACTACCCTACGTGCAAGGATGTGACTATAGATTACAGGCATGGTCAGCATACAGAATAGGTTAGGAGTATCGCCAAAGGACTATGGGCACCTCTATGTGCGCGTGCAACTTTTTACATGTATGGTATATTATATGTGTTTAGTTGGACCAAAGAGGAGAGTTTCATGTCGTACAGATGTAAAGAGGGCCGCGCATTGCCACGCCCGACCTGGACGACGAACTAGGGCGGAGCCGGCAGCTTCCACCCTCGTCGAATCGATATCCCTCTCACTTCAGTCTTACTGAGTTTTATTCAGCGGAATTAAGCGGACACTGTGGACAATGGAGCAGAAAGGGAAAACGAGAAAAAGGGAAAAAAGACAAATATTAATATACGAGCTTGCTGACTAAGCATCTTTCACAATCAAAATAGTAAACAGTACATAACCTCTTTTGTCTATGATTCTAGTAATGCTGTTACAGGTTATAGCATAGTTTAGTGTAGTGACGTATATCTCTTAGTACAGGACTGTGCACTATAGTACGTGTATACTGCATTTATATTTCTTTACTTTACTCAATGGAAGTTGGCAACACTGTACACGTGGATTTTATGATACCTCATGGTTATACTTATGACGCTTACTTCACGAAAGAGTAATAAATTGGCACAAGGACGAAGAAGCAGATTATGTTTAATAAGCAAAACTGCTTGATGACGGTTATGTTTAATTAAGATGATAATTAACCTGTTTCTCACTGGATACAGAATTTTTTATTCGGTAAGTTATTCGCCAATAAAATTAATCGATTTATTCATGATTTATGTACACACTCCTAATTTATTTACCCTTTCTGTGTTTTAATCGCGTCAGGACGACCACGTACTATCCCTCTGGTCTCTCTCGAGGAATATACATAATTATACCGTATTTTCCTACCAAACAGCAGACAATTTATGCGAATTCTGCTGGGCGCCTGTTGAAAGTTTGACAATGGAAATTTACTAATGGGATAGACAGAGTATGACGATGGTTACCAAGTATTAGGTACTTTATTAAAATATTTAATTCTGTGGGAAAACGAGATATTTACATTGTTTTACTAATTGTCATTTACTACTAATAGGTATATTCAGAAGTGTGTACATACAAGATTGTCAAAGAAAAATGAAATTATGAAGTATATCTGGAATATTACATTTTTGGACACAGGTTATATTAATGAAAATAAAATCAAGAGTATATCTTGATATCTGTCACGTGCGCTAACGGCTGTGACAGAATCTTTCCTTAGTCCATTTACAGCAGCTACGTGTTGGAGGACCAACCGGATACGAGGATACAAAGACACGGAAAGACGATCCCCATGATTTGTAGCTTCCATAAAAAGGATAAAAAGGATGGGATGAAGAAATAAGTTAGAGAGGGAAAAAAAGAAGTAAAGACAAGGAATCCCCTAGCTCTTTACTTCATGCTGTATCGAAGAGCCATGTCGTCACTCATCCTGGAAGTCTTCTGGATGTCCTCTTGCTTTCCACCATAGTCCGTACCGTAATCCTGGGAATCTTTATCGAGACTGTACTTTCCTAGGGCCATATCTATCAGGGAGAAACTACAAGCGGGAAACATGGCCACGCAATCATGTCCTTCGTGCCCTGCAGCGTGGGCCTTTGTGTATACATGATGCTCTTCCGGTTCGAAGGAGAAGATCTTCTTCAGGGGCATACTAAATGGAGGGATGAATTTATTTATTCTTATTTTTAATTCTCATTTAAGAGATCCAATAAATACTTATTATGCGGTACGTACGAAAACGCTATTCTCATCATTTCTTCTACTAGCGTAGTACCCTTGGGCATTAATCTTTGAGAGGCTTCACACAGCGCACGCAGGACGCAGGTTCTTCCGTCAAAACCCATTCTGCGAAAGAAAGTATCATTTTAAAGATTTTTATACAAGGGCAGATCGAGATTAGAAAGACTCTCGATCAGACGGGCAACTCTACTCGAGTGTTGGCCGACTAGATTAATTCAGTGGATCTTTCGAGTATGGCGTGAAGGATATTTTTCTAGAAGGGCCATATAACCCTCTAGGATTCCTTGGTATTTACCAAGCTCTTACCTACGGACCACCTAAAAACAAACCCCCTTCTTTCGAGACTGCCAATGGTAAATCTCAGTCTGTTTATTTTGTTGATTTTTTTGCAGATCTTTTTTTTAACTCGTACCGTTGAGATAAATTTTAATTCTTTAGTGTATATTTAATTAATCTTGATTAATTAATTTCAGGAGTCCGTTATATTATTTTTAATCAGAAAATTTCTCATCTGCCACTTAACCTACTTACGCGTTCATTATAACCTCCAACTTGTTATAAAGATCTCTACGGTGTCTGCGCTGTACGTAATAATAATCCGACTTGTAGTATTTCTTAGAAGGAGGCGCATAGTACTTCCGGTCCTCGGTCCAACTTCCTGTCCGGAAACCGCTCTGCTTACTTCCGCTCTGAGCCATTAGACTGTATTGTTTCGTCTTGTCGTACCTGTCGCTCTTTAAGCGGTCCTTACGTAATTCTAAAAATGGCGCCAATTCAGCTTTGGTCTCGTTTGGCAAATCGTACGAAATGCCCCAATTCATCCCTTCGGTAAAAATATTGTCGTTGGTCAGGGTGTGCATGGTCATGCACAGGGCGATCTGATGAAAAAGTCAAAATTGCTTGAATTGATTTTTCGAGAATGGAGAAATAAGAGAATTTGAAGAAAAAAACTCACTGAAAAACTTGATCCTTCAGGAAAAACTATGTAACGTTTACGTCTGGATAGCAAGTGGGTGTCTTCGCTGTTTACGTAGATGGTGCTGGTAGCTATGAAACAAATAAGAAAGACGCTCCTTCCGGCCAAACTCGTCATTGCTTTCTGAAACCGAAGAAAAGTAATGGGACATTCGAATCACACTAAAAGTAAGTATTTCAAGTAAGAAGTATTTCAATGCAATAAATATTCCCTTGTTAATTTCCCTAGGAAACATTTTTTCCCGTTTTCCGGAATCCTGAAGTGTCGATGTGATCGGGATTGGGTACGAAGGAGGACGTATAAATAAAATAAGAATACTGGAAGGAAGGAACTAAGAGAAATAAAAAGGATCAGCAAATAAAATATCCTCCTCCAATCTTCCCGAAGGAAGAAGTATCTGTTTTATATATATATATATATCTTTTAGTCAGTCACTCACTGACTACTATCTTGGAAAATTCTTTCCACTTGGCATTAGTTTCCCTTTTTTATTTTACATTTCCTCTCTCTCTCTCTCTCTCTCTCTCTCTCTCTCTCTCTCTCTCTCTCTCTCTTTCTCTCTTCTGCATTCCTATAGCGATTCTCTCTTCTATAGGGAAGAAGGAGATTTGAGCCTCATCCTATCTCTCTGCCTTATCCTTGCAGTCCTGGCAATAAAAGGGGACTGGTGAGTGGATTGTACATTCCCACCCGATTCCACATCAATCTTCAACGTCTTCCACTTCCGGTATCCATTCTTTTCGCTTCTGAACAGTGCAAAAAGAAGGTACAGGTATATAGTCCAGATCAAAAATAATATCCTTTCTCGTTTTGTCTATATCATTCATATTCATATTTCTGACTGATATCCTTGTTTCTTATTTGACCAGCCAAAGTAAAGAACACACACAGAGACAGAAGCTTGAAGAATTTCTTACGTTAAAGAAAACATGAGGTGATACAGTATAGGACGCCACCACCACTTTGCCTCCTCACGAATCAAAGCCAACTTCCGTTTCCCTCAGGCAGGCCTTCGATCGACTTCCATTAAACTTTCAACGTTCATCGCGTAAGAGCTACTGGAAATCCTCTGAGATTTTTCCCTTCGACCCCAAATCCACCCCACTGGGTGGGACTTATTTTTCACGATACTCGTTGTCAAATTAATTTTGACTCTGTCGACATAGGAATTTATTTTTAAAGAAGCATTCACAGATTTCTCACTCGTTTCAAGGAATCCTTTGTTTATTAAGGGACTGTATTTTAGTTATATATACAAATTTTACAAAAATGCAAGAAACAATTCAGTAAATACAGATGTATCTACTCCTAATACTAATGGGTACCAATTTAATAACTTTTTTCATAAATTAACTGAGCATCTGGTTCTGTCATAACTTTATATTGTCAAGATTATTGGTCCAGGATGGATGATAGTTATGAGTCTAAGAGAGCGCAGAGAAGAGAAAAGTCAGAGGAGAAGAGTGGTAAACAAAAATTACTTGACAGCGTGCGACAATGTGATTGTAAAGAAAAATAAAAGAAAATGATTGATCATTGGAAATCTGACGTGATAGAAACTGTCGGAAATGGTCCATTGGGATGCTGCAGGATCGTTTAACAATTCAGAGGAAGGAGGAAGGTATTGGTATGTTTTTATTGTTGAACTTTTATCATCTCTGTCACCACTCACCTCGCTCTTTTTTCCTTTATTTTATATCCTAGCCGTTCTCCACTACACCAACACCATCGTCTGCAGCCACTGTAATAAGAATGAGACTTATTTCATCTTCTCGCCAGACCGCAGCCACCCTCTCGGTATCTTACAAATAGATTATCAACACCTCCTCGGTGCCTTTACCGTGTTACTTAACGCGTTCATGCTCAAAATATTTTAACTCTCGAGTGATAATTGACTGAGCCGTTATCTGGAAGCTGGATACACAATGTTACGGTAACTTCTCGATACGGTTACACGAGGATCTCGTGACTGATTCTTCGCAGAAAAATTATCTGACCTACGTCGTAAATATATCTTTGGCGTAGATAACATTAATATAGAGTGTCAAGAGTAATAGTATCTTTAGAAAAGAAAAAGTTTAACATTAAATATCATAGATCGCTATTAAAACACAGCAAACTCATATCATAATAAATAGACTAATGGATTCTTTAATAAAAGATTGATTCGATAAAAAAATGAAAAGTTCATTCGATTTAGCGAATAGCGTACGCTGATCTCACTCTAGCTTACGTCAATGCCCATAAGACTGTCTCTCTCGCACTCACGTACGGTATAGAAAACTCGGAAAATCTAAAAGCACCAGACCTCCGTCCGATCAAACGTATTTGGGCTGTCTCGAATATCGGCTTGCCACTCTACGCTGTCCCTGTCTCTCTCGCGCTTGTGTAAAATCGCATAGCACCGTCTCTTTCGCACTCATTGACGGTATAGGAAATTTACCAAATCAAAAGGCTCTGGACCTTCCTTTTATTGCGACTCGTATACGGAACATCTTGTACGTGGAAAAATGTGTGAAATTCGAATTCTCGCGTTTACTTCAAGTACGCCGGTACTTCTACACGCGAATACTTTTGCCACGACTGTGTGTATGCCAGGGATACGTAAAATTGGCATTTCTTTCCGTTTCACGAAATATCCTAAAGTTTCCTTTGAGATTCCCTCAAGGAATCTAGCAGCGTCTACGCCTCGCCGAACGCGTCTGACTTCCGATTTCGTTTCCGGTGTTGAATTTTCAACTAGAACTCCCAATGCCGAACGCAGTACAGAGACTCTTTCATGTAGCTTCTCAAATTACGGATAAAAGTAGCACCCTATATAAGTCCATAAAGTATATTACGAACTGGCTAAAGAAATATATACAGTGACGTAAATCGTAGCGGATTGATTTATACTTTGACTTGTTAATCCAGTTTAACGCCACAGGTTTTGAAATTCAGTCTGAAATTCCTCGAGTTTTTGTCCCTCCTTGTCTCATTTTGGGGATGAAATTTTTACAAGCTGTCAAATGGTACTTTAGTGCTCTTGGATAGGATGCGAACAGTTAGGAAAATGTTCTAAAGGGTGAAGTTATCATTTGGATCTTTATCTTTATCGTTATGTATCTTTTCATTGGTACCTGTACACCTATCTTGATACAGCCTGGTTATAATTTTTGTACATTTGGACAATCCTTGTAATCTCATTTTATTGAGATTTGAGTGAAACCAGGGACTCTTATGGGTCAAAATGATCTTGGATGATTTTGTTAAATGATATTTTTATTGTGCATTAATATTCATCTTCATAACTCAATAACAGCTCCAGTAGAGAAATAGGGCAAGCATAGGTGCTGTCGCAGTCTTTTTTCATTTTGTATGCCAGGTCGTACTCGTCCATTGGATACATTTTGTGCGGTAGATTCCTTTTTTATGAGAGAACGAAAGGAAAAAAATTATTTACAATTTATTGATTTCTCTTATTCTTAGGGATGCTGCGTGGAAGTAGAGATAGATACTAACGTTAGAACGACTCTTAAAATGTCCTCGAAGAAAGATACTCCTGGTGGATTGAGGGTTGACCTGGCCTCGCAGATTGTCCTCAGAATACAGTCTTTACCTGATAAACCCTGTCTTTAAAGAATGTTCGTGAAAATATAAAAAGGTAACAAATTTTTTATACTTTTTAAAAACTGTATCGATACCCTTAATCGCTATTGGTGAATTTACTTTGTGTCTCCAGGGTGGCGTGAAATTTCTATCTCTAACCAGTATCTACTACCAATCGCAAGTTCATCTAATTGACTAAGTTAGCTAATAGCTACCATCCTCAGCACTGCTACCAACCTGTTCAAAGCTAACTCGAAATTACTGTACAAGTCTCGTTTGTGGCGTCTGTGCCATAATCGAGACGGCGATGACCTTTCCTTAAGTGGAGGCTTTAGGTCCGATGAACTCGGGATCGGCCAAATGACGTCCATCTCAAAATCAAGATTCCATGCGCTGAGTATTTCAGCTTGTACAGACTGTAAAAGCTGCAGGGTGGCCTGGAGGAAAGAAAGTGATAGTCTTAAGATAGATTAATTAATTAAATTTTAATTATTAACAATATTTAAGACTCACAGTAAAAGCACTGCCCTGGGGGAATGTCAGATATCTTTTTCTTCTAGACAAAATCCTAGGATTTCTTGGTCCCGTTGACGTCGTTAAAGTGACATTCACAGGACATGTTTCTTCTGTCACGACAAAATCACCACTCAGAATGATAAAAGATAAGGCATAAAGAAATAATAACATTTTGTATGACACTGGATATTTTTTTTCTACACTACAAAAATATATCCTCAGCTACGTAATATAATGTACACACACACTATGTGAACGTCACTGATTTCCTATAAATTCACAAACTCATCTTTTATCCAAGAGCTGCTCTCGAGAACTTCAACTCCGAAGACGACTGTAGCAGAAGTAACACTTGTTCTGAACTGTTTAACTTTTATATTAACATTTTTTTTCGAGATCTCGTTTACTCAGTTAACTATGACGCAACTACGGGAACTGCTGTCGAAGCGAATTCGTTAAGCGCTACGAATATCCAGGAAAAAGAGTGAGAAATTCTAAGAAAAAAAATATTAAAAAATGAATAAACTCATTTCTGAATCATCCTTATAGATACAAGTAAAAATCTGTAATGATAGCACGTACAGTCTGTTCACGAGTTGAATGTTTTTATTTTTTTGACAGTTCTCAAACAATGCATTCTTCAGCAAATAACACGTGGCACTGCATACAACTTTTTCTTATGAAATATTGCACGTGCATTTTTTACGCGGAAATTCAATTTATTTTTACTATTTTAGTACAAGTTTCCTTGATTATACGTAAAACCGCATATAACTTGCAAAGGATCGCATTGTCTGCGAACTGTCAAAAAAAAGACATGCACCGACTATACGTATATTCACATTTATAGAAGTACGACTATCCAAAAAAATTTAACTAACCGATCTGAAATTTGGTTATATTCTTAGCAAGTATATAATTTTTGTGCGTGCAAAGTTTCCAAAAAATCGATCGATCAAAATATCCTAAATGGCACAATACAGATATACTTCTCGTGATAAATTAACGTCATCGATTTTGGCTTTTAAACGATAAAAATTCATGAAATTTGCAGACGACAATCATTTTCCGTTAAAAATGACTGCCACGGGATTTTTTAATTAAGACGGTTGACATTTTTTCCAATTTTGTACAACTAAATTCCAAACGATATGGAGTATACAAATTATAAAATTTATACATCTCTGATCTTCAGCTTGGTTCAATAACAATATGTTATGTAGCAAATATTTTTAAGAGTCGCATTATATTATTTATTCGCAATGAAGAAAACTATATACATATACAAAATGGTCATACCTCCTTAATATGTCCTACATATAGGTATGTTACGAAACACGTATCTCTAGACTGTACTGCTTTTGCATAGAGAAGGCTTTTGGTCCAGATTGCATAATTCAGGCAAAGTGTAAAGCCACCCGAGAAGCCACTATACATATTCCCATATAGTCTATATATTTATCTGCCTGCACACATATATATATTTATACTTCATGCATACCTATGCATACGTGGTCCATGATGAAAACGTCGGTCTAGAGCTAACGATGATTAATGCAAACTTCACTCACAGCAAACAGTTTACTCCGGAAGATATGCACTCCTTGCGTGAAGTTAAGGGGATACCTTTTTCGATAAGGTCAACTTAATATTATTGCAATACGTAAGATCCATCTGGTCCAAGGAGTGCCGAGTGCAAATTTATGTAAGAATATACAACGTAACCACAGTGGATAAAGGGAACAAAGTATTAGAAAAAGGAGAATCTGTTTATAAAGATTTTATTTGTCTTTTTTTATTAAAAAAAAATACTCCTGTATGATTGTATGCTTTATTATAGGATCTCTTGACAGCTCGGGTACATTCGGTCGCAATCGGCAATCTTCGCTCTTTCGTATTCTGTCTTAGGATCGTCGTCGTAAGAGCCTTCGGGTAAACTGAAATGTGACATAATTTCAGGCTAGACTTTAGGTTATAACCCATTCAGCGACACGTAGCATACTGTCGCATTTCCATAGCGCTCATTGGCTAGAAACGTACAGAGCTATACAGTACAAACGCAACCACTTGAAGTGAGCGCGTTCATTCAATTTTTGTGGCGAAGCCATATTCAAGTTGGTAGGTTGGTTTACATTTGGGTCCTGATATCTGTACATGTGGTATACGTATAAAGTGACTTACGTGAATATCGAGTGTAGAATTTCGCGCATGAAGGATCTCGTACCGAGGTCGGATTTGTCGCGTTTCGCCGCATTGCAAATAGCCTTAAGCACACAAGCCTTGCCGTCCTTTCCCTGTCTGTTGCGGCGACGTCAACGAGGATTAAATAAATAAAAGGGAAAGAAATTACAAGCACGGTTTGCATAATATAAATATACATAAAACAGAAATCCAGCTCTCATGTGAATCAGCCTCGAGGATGCTTCGTATACGTGTGTGAGGGATGGTGAAAGTAGAAAGGAAAATAGAGGAGCGAACGATGGTAATAGGTGTGTCATATCGTATAAATCTATCATCGCCTATTACGAACGAGCCCATAAATATTTGACATACGTAAGTATTGTTTTTTCTTCGTAATAAAAGTAGTATAGTACAGTCGACTGCTTCTCGGTAATACAATAGAGATGCCCTGCGAGATTAGAATGAGCGGTTAGGTTAGATTTAACTGTCGATTAACTTCGGATTAGACGATGGGATGGGTCAATTAATTAGCCACGACCGGCAAAGTGGCAACAACCCGAAACTCTATTGTCTTGATCTCACGAGCTTTTATACGGGAATAGCTCGTCGATATTCGGCAGCCATTCTGGGACGGCAGTCAGTCTAGAGGACGGGAGATGATTCGGGTAGGTTGCGTTTACAACCCTATTTAAGATAGATAGATAGATAAAAATCTATTCTATCTTCTAGATTTTCTGTTCACTATTTTTGTTAATATAAGAAATATATATACTTACGTTTTCAGCATTAATTCGATTTTGTGATAAAGCTCTCTTCTGCTTCTACGATGATAGACTTCCGCTGGTTTTCGATAAGGCACAGAATCCTTATGCGGTAATGGCCAGGCTAAACCTGCTGTTACTCCCATTGTGAAGACACCTTGAGGTTTTGTGTAGGTACCAATAGTCATGCAGTATATGAGCTGATTGAAAAAGAATTAAGAACAAATTTTTTTTGACATTTATATATGAGCGATTAGGTTAGGTCAAAAATACCTTTGTAGACTTACCTGTACATTACTACCTTGTGGGAAGATCAGGAATCTTTTTGTTTCATCTAGCTCTCTTCTGGAACGTTCTATAGTTGTGTTCAGGAATTGAACGGATTGGGTACTCACTTTTATTCTTGCGTTGAAGTAAAAGTTCAAAAGACATAAGACGATACTGATATCACGCGGTGACATTTTAATTATTGTTAATTAACTATTCAATTTGTTATAAATAATTCTGGTGCTTAACTTTTCTTTATTACCCTGTTTCTTCGGTCTTGGACTTTGGATTCTGTGACAAGTCGTTCTTCGCGGTGTTCTATCGCTACTGATTATCTCATCCAGTATCAATGGTACAGTTAGAACATGGCGTGGGGAAAATGGGTGGGAGAGAGATACGTGTATAGGAAACATGTCTCAAACTTGTTAAATGGTCCTAGTTGATGTTAAGTGGTTCTAACAATGACTTAACTTCCGTTACTTAAAGTCCTAAGCGAAATGGGATGAAGTTTCTCTACTGTGGCGCCATCTGGTTTAGGACGTAATTTTTACGAGGGTTGTAACAGTGACCTAGTAGCGTCGAACAGTGATGTCGTTTAGGTGGGATCGAATAAAATATCTCAGGGGGTTAAAAGGGGAAGAGATAACTAGTCTCGTAGAAATCCTAGGGGTGGAGTAACATAACGAATCTTCACGGGTTCGATCCCAGGTCAAAGACAATTTTTTTTTGGTATAATAAACTCAAAAAATTAATATTCAAAAGTGTTTCGATGTTTTTTGGTTTTAATTACTTTATTTATTTTTAGTCATTAATTTAACCTAGCTTGTTAATCTCATCGGTGAAGTTGCCGGCGAGACAGCAGTGTCTAGCGGCAAGTTAACCGTCGATTTTTATAACGTTATTTAATACAGAATACTTTCTCGTTTTCATCCCCTATCTCTTTGGATTTGTTAAAAATATAACTGATAGGGGTGAAACAGATAAAGAATTCGTAATCTTTGCAGTCGCATTGCATCTGTAAAATTGTCAATTTTCTTTCCATTACCAATTTTTCAATTGATCAGCGACAAAACTCTTTTTTCTGATTTTCCCTTTTTTTTCGTTTTCACTCAAAAAGCCAGGTCGTACACAGAGTGTTCGCAGGCTGGATAAAGCTCGGTGCAATTTTCATTTGACCCATAAGCTAGATCGTAATCCTGCTGATCGACTGATTCAAATTTGCCGCCATCCTTCGGTAGACTGTAATGAAAAAGGTACGATTTTGTAAAACACCCGAAAAAAAAATAAAACAGCCACACTAGTTTGAAGTAACGAGTATCACCCAGTATACTGGATACTCACGTGAATACAGCGTGCATCAATTCCTGAAGAAAGGTACCCTGACCAATTTTCCAATTTGGCCTCTGGCCAGCCTCGCATAGGGCCTTTAAAACGCACGACCGTCCGTCCAATCCAGCTCTGTAAAAGATTAGGAAAAAAAATTTGATGTAAAACCAAAAAAAAACGTAATAGTAAAAAAAACCTTTGGGATCGTACAAAAAATTAATAGTGTTACAAAAAGAAATATAATATCAAAATTCAGAATCTTATTATTAAAAAAATCTAATATAAACGCCACCCCTACTCCTTTACATGGTTGGGGTGATATAAGGGGTAGATGAACAGTCACAAGTTTTGTGGGTCATCCCCTATGGGACTCACGAGTCCTATTGCCTATTTTTCCAACACCGTATACAGACATATCTATGTATAGATATACCATATTCTATAAAAATTTCCACCCCCCGTCTCCATACCTCTAGGCACGAATCCTCAGTATCTCTGTGCTACAGGATTGGGGGGTTGATAGTTAAGGATGAACAAGGGGATGAATATAGCCATTCTCGTCTCTGTATTTTGATCGCGAGTGCGTCAGAGAAAGACAACCCCTATGGCAATATATTCGAGTGTGTATTCCCTAGGGTAGTCTTTCACAGGGCAGTGGGTGGTTATGACTTACGAAAAGGCGTATAGGAACTCCTAAATAATAAAAAAAAAAAAAAGCCGGGGACGGGAAAGTTAGATCGGAGGGTAGAATTATATGAAAGTGAGAGAAATGATAATAAAGGGGATAAGGAATGAAAATAGAGAGAGAGTGAAACAGGAAAAAAAAAGCGAATACTATAATATAAATAAGGTGAACAAACAAGGGCGTTACTTCAAAACACCCTTATTAGGTTAGCTCGAAGGGGTTGCTTTTTTCTGTTTCCACCCTAAAACGAAACATCGTTGCGATATTTCTTTGCAATTTTTTCTTCGATCTTGATCATCCCCTGTACATTCACATCCCCTTCACCACCCCTTCGCCCTCTATGTAAATTTCTTACTTCTGGCTTTAGGTGGTAGGACAACAAGGGATTTTTACGATTTAAGGGATAAAGAGCTTCGGGTCAATTTTTCCATTTTTCTCAAACACCTTTTGTCGTATTTTTATTTTACACGCAGGATATAAGGAAATGTCAAATAAATTTTTTTTTACTCACGATTTTAAAAACGCTTCTATTTTTGGATACGCAACGCTCCTCGTTCGTCTGTGCAATAAATCTGGAAATTTGTTGTCCAATTTACTTGGCAATTCCCAAGCCATTGCAGCCGTAAGGCCCAAAACGAGATCGCCGTTTCTGCCGTACGCTCCTATCGTGAGACAGTATACCAACTGCAAGAAAAAAAAATTTGTTGTCCATTAATTCAACTCCACTATCTCTCTTCCTCTCGACGAAGTGTCAATTACTTTCAAAACTGTGGATATTTTTTTTCTTTCCTTTTTTTTCTTACCTGTATATTACTTCCTTGGGGAAATATCAGATAGCGCTTCTGTCTCGACAAAACGCGATCAGCTTCCTTGTCGGACGCGTCGAGGCTTTTTGAAAACTCCTGAGAGACCGTGGATACCAATAACAAATTTAGACACGCCACTGTTAAGAGTACGTCTGAAGTTCTTGCTTTTTTTCTCATTTTTTTTTATCCTCTACGAATCAACCCTCGTCACCCTCTACAGGATCCTCTGTCCCCTATAAGCGATCCTTCCTACGATATTGGTAATTTTGCGGTTGCTTATTTCTCTCTTTCTTCTACAGTTTCAAAATGAAGACCACACCGTAGAAACACGAGCTGCGACCAGCGTATTACTCGCAATACTGGATATGAGAGTTACCCTTAGCACAACGTGTTACCGATAACGGTAACACATTGAAATTCATCGTAACGGTAACATCGGCTACCATATATACATATATATATATATATATATGTTTTTTTCTAGCTCCTAACAGTCCTATATCTATCTCTCTTCTCAGGTATTCCTATTGAGCTTCTTTATTGACACTTGTCTAGTCAATTACACTTGTAAATAATATCAACTGGGACCTAATGACTGTTTGAACTGGGCCTATTAAAGTATCAGTCGAGACAGCCCCTCTCCCCTTCATTGGTTTATTACGACCCACATTTCGTATTCGCCCCTGTCACTTCGAGCTCAAATTTACCCCCCCGCCCCCCCCCCCCCCCCCCCCC